AATTGTGCTTTGCTGTTAATCTGGCCTGGAACTGTTGGACTAACAGTTGGCCTTGCATCACGGGATATTCTTTTCCTTTTCCACTTTCCAACCTATTTCCCTAAAAAAACCCCGCAACTGTGAATAAAGCCTATAAGTAAATTTGTAAAGAACATTGGACCCAATGATTCATAGAAATAGGTGCAAAAGCATAGGGGGTGGCATGTCTGACCATGTAGCTATTTGTTTGGTTCTATAAATATTATTGCTAAGGAAAGTTCACCTACATGAAGCTGGAACTTGGCCTTCCCCATATTACCACTTCTCCTTTTACAATGCTCATCTCCTGAGACTTGTAGATAGAAGAAATAAATAGATGTTAGAGAACAGGGGGCATTTGTGTGCACTCTAGGGAGAGTGTTAGTGACTTTGAAAATGGCTGGGATCAAGAACCATGGATGGGCTTATAAGAGAGCTAAGTGAAGGCCAAATTCCTGTGATAATGACAATTTGGCTCTTTCTAAAGGCAGTGGGATGGGTTGGATGATTCTGATTTTTTTTTTCTTTCACAACCAGAAAGCATCTGCCAAAAACACAGAGATGCTTTTTTTAAAAAACTGAAGACAGAAAGAGCTAGACAAGTGAAAAATAAAATGAAGTAGAACAAAATACCGAACAAGTTGGTAATGGGGGTAGTTTGTTTTTAGGATTGGCTCAAGCTCTTTGCATATAATAGAATGAAACACTGCTGGCCATGCCCATTCCTCACAGGCTATGACAATTGAGCCCATTGTTGCAGTCACCATACCAAGCCATCTTATTGGGCATCTTCTTTTATCTGATCCTCTACTTGCATGAGGCCCTTCTAACCAGGGACCTGTCCTTCCTAATAGCATGTTCAAAGTATGTGATGTGAAGTCCTTCCATAGTCATTTCCAAGGAGCCTTCTAGTACCAGCAAGGGGACAAAATAAACATCCTTACTTTTTATACATTATCTCATGTCAAGTGTTCACAAAGTAGGTGTTGTCTTTGTCTTGAAAGTGAGAAATTGAGGATTGTACTTCTCAGATTGTTTTACACATAATCTATTGAAATGGCAGGATTTTTTAAAATTAATTTTAATAAAAGTTTACAGAGACTTTGGATTCTATTCATTCATTGTTGCACTTTTCTCTCTGCCCAGCTCTCCTCCCAAATTCACTCTTCTCTTTGAAAAGTAAAAGAAAAAATCTTTCATTGTTATACAATCCCTCCCCCCAAGTCTACTCCACTATGCAGCCTTCATTCTGAACTCCTGTTATGACAATAATACCTAATCATATATCCCTTTTAAACAGTTTTCTCCCTCATCTTTTTCAATGCAGTATACAGTATTTATCCCCTCTTTTTCAGTCTCCCCTCAACCCCGATGTCAGTCCCATTTTACAACACTGGACTATGAAATATTTGTCCTTTTGTGATGGAGATGTTTCACTCAGCATAATGTCCTCCAGGGTCACCCATTTTGTATAAAAATATTTCATGAGTTCCTTATTTTTTAATGCAGCATGGTGTTCCATTGGATGAATATACCAGAACTTCTATATAATATTTCATTTGTTCCTTGTTTTTCAATGCAGCATAGTATTCCATTGTGTGAATAAACCAGAGCTTCTCTATCCATTTGTTTGTTGATGGTCACTTGGGTTGTTTCCAACTCAGCTATTGTGAACAAAGCCACAATAAACGTGTTTTTGCTCTGTTTCTGTCTAGCTCCCAAGAAAGGAATGGTGATCATTAACCCTTAAATTGGAATGTTGGTTCTTAGGATAGAGCAGCAGGCCCTGGTCAGGTCTTGTGGAAGGTACAAGATGTATACAGTTGTACAAATCTGAGATCAGAGGGCAGCCGAAGAGCTGAAGATGAGCTCCTAGATGTATTATGCACTGGTCAGACGAGAGGGAGAACAGAGAGGGTCAAGATGAAGATGAGACAAGGAACCCATCACATCAAGAGAGAAACGATGGAAGGAGTGAGGACTGTTCAGCTGAGAAATAAGCATAGAGAGGCAACTGGGAGAGATCTTTAAATATCTAGAGCTCTGTCTTGTGGAGAATGAACTAGAAGGAAAACAGAACGAGGATTGCTGGCTTAAAGTTACAGGGAACAGATTTTGGCTCCCTGTGAACAAACACTTTCCAGTATTCAGAGTACTTTGACGAATGGAGATTGGAATCTGGTGACCCACAGGCCAAATTCAGCTGTGGAGACATTTTGTTAGCTTATGGTGTTAAAACTTTTCATTGTATTTAATTGTCTTTCTGTGGGCACGTGGTCTCCTGGTGGGCGGACAGCTCACACCACCTCCTGTTCTTTTATTTCCCATGCCCCTGCAGCAGGGGATTTGAACGTAGCAAATAAAAATACAAGATGTGCAGCTAAATTTGCTAGTCAGTCAAATAACAAATGATTTCTTAGTATAGCTGTATAATGTTTACGCACTTGGGATGTACTAATACTTAGCCATACTTAACTGGACAGTATGCCCTGAGAGAATTTCAATGGGAGCCCTTGATCATTCATTCTGAGGAAGCAGGCTCTCATTTGGGAAATGCTCAATCAGGAACTTGTCTAGGAGAAAAGCCTGAATGGAAGGTACTAGAATGGCCTTGCTATGGCCCTGTTCTATTCTCACTAGACTTCTGCTCCAGAGCAACAAAACAAAACAAGGCAGAGGTTGCTACAACTCTAAATCACAGCCCGGGTCGTCTTCTGGGTGTGGCTGACACAATGAACTATCCTAATAGCTGGGATTGAATGACTGATGGTAGTGGTTAGGTGTCATCGAGTGGACCCCAGCTCTCTCTGCACAACAGCATGTGATCTTGCCTGATTCAAGTGATCCTCATCATCTTCACTGTGCTTTATTCTCATTGTTATGGTCACTGCATCGGTCCATCTATTTGAAGGTCATCCTCTCTTCCTTCTCTAAAGACTGGCACCCTTCTGGTAACATGCCCAAAGTATGTGAAGCAAGGTCTAATCATCCTTGCTTCTAAGGAGCATCCTGACTTTAACTTACCTTATATATACTTTATCTTATGTATATGTGTGTTTGTTCCTTTGACAGTCTATAGTATATTCCGTACTGTTCACCATGTTTCAGTACCAATTCAAAGGCATCAATTCCTCTTTGGTCATCCCTGTTCAGTGTGCAATGTTTCATATGCATGAAAAGCAATTGAAAGTACCATGAGTCAGGTTCACTTGGGCCCTTAAAGTGACATCTTGGTTCTTTAGCACTTTAAAGAGATGCTTGACAGCATTTTTGCCCAATGCAATACATTGTTTGATTTAGAAAACTTTTTTTTTATCTGATATAAATTGCTAGTAAAATTCCTCCTAAATGCGAGTTGATTGACGTGTCTGCAAATGGAGAGAATGGTCGGAACCTCCTCCTGCCTCAGGGCATGTACCAAGAGGCATAGAACAACCCAAAACAATAATTCTGGCTTCTCGATCAAAATCCATCTTCTGCTTCTTTGCAACTGTGGTTAGTCATCCTGACACTTCTTATTTGCTTGTCCTGGTGCCAGAATTGCTTCTCCGGTTGTTTTGAACAGACTGTTAGGAACTCGCCATGGAACACAGCAGCAGTTGATATTCAAGAGGAGACAGACACTAACTCCCTCTCTTACCACAGGCTCAGTGTCCTCGGTGGAAAATTAGTCAGAACCGAGGTCACCTGCAGAAATTGTCATCTTTGGTCATCAGCTAGTCTTGGAGGGCCCCCTTTCAGGCATCTGGAGAATTAGAGTGTGTTTGATAGAGCTTCAGAGAGCATTTGGTGCAATGTGCCCTTCGTAGGGATAGGAAAGCTAGCTTCTCAGTAGGGTGACACGAATCAGGGCAGCGGCTAGAGTCAGAGCTCAGGGGAGCAAGGCCATTGTCCCCTCTTTCTTTTTCTTTAGTCCCCTCTATCTCCCTCCCTTTCACTTTTCTCGGTCTCTCACTTAGAACACCACGAGACAGTGGAAGATAAGAAAATGAATCCAGATATTTGAGAGAGAGAGGAGGGCATGCATCTGAACAAATCCTCCCTTCAGTAATTCTAGCTTCTTATTAGATGACTTTGCCATCTCTTTTAAGGAATGGTGTGTTCAGAACAGCTGAGATTGGTTTGGACATTCACTTAATATCTCTAGTGGTGTCATGTTTCCCCTCCTCATTCTCTTCCTCACCAAGATTAAATAGGTTAAAAAACCTCAAGAGTTACTCAAATTAAGTAAAATGAAATAAAACCTCATTTTAATTATTATCAAGAAGAGGCAAACTATTGAACATAGCATTTCATGGGGAAAGTGAACTTTAGGTTGAGAATAACACAGAAGTGTCTGGACCTTAAACAAAGGACTGTAGGTGGCTCATGGTACCACATTTATCCAAGCAAGAGTTCTGTTTTTACAGGTTGTTTTTGATAAATACACTACCTCCTGCATCATACCTCAGAACCTTTCCTCCTCTTAAAAATGTTCCAAGGTCTTAAAAAAAAAGTTTCAAGATCTTGTCTTTGTTTTATGCACATAGATCCTCAGCTACTACATGTTGGGGGAGTGAGTTGGAAATAAAGAAAAAATAATAAAGGCTTTCGAAGCATAAATATCTTGGATCAAACTTCGACTCCTCTATCAGCTCATCAAGTTGGGCAAGTTTTTCAGGTAAGCCTCAGTTTCCTTGGGTGTAAAATGCCAATCAACTCCCTCTCTTCTTGTATCTTTGAGACTAGAAAATGGGGTGATTTAGGCGCTCCATACATGGCAGATGTAATCATGATAGCTGTCACATGCGCATAAAGAACCACCACACGGCACTCTGATTTTTATTACTTTTTAATGCAGTCCCATTTGGTTTGGCACAGAGATCTAGACCGGTAATTGGAGGATGCGTTGCTTTGTGTAACTACCCAATGTGGGAACACTACATTGCTGATCTCTATAAGCATTAAAGGGGAGGCATTACTGTCAGCAGTGGAATTCAGAAGCCCATTGTTTTCTTGATGACGCCTATTTGGACCACACAGCCAGCCAATATTCAGCCCCTGGGCAGAAGTGTGTGGTCCCATCCACACCGTTACTCCACAATACGGCGGAAAGACTGAACAGCTGGGGATGCTGCCCCCCAGTCGATGGGCTTCCGGTACTCCTTCTTGTCCAGGAGGTACTGGCGGCCACGGTAGTTGGGCAGCTCATAGAAAATCCAGGCCCCCTCCAGCACCTTACAGGAGTGGATCTCTCGCATGTGAAACTGCTCCATGATGGAAGGGCAATCTTGAGTGGTTTCATACATCTGCCCATTGAAGTCCCCTTTCTCGAAGACCTGAAGTTTATACTGACCTCCGCTACACTGGAGAGACAGAGGAGGAAATTAACAGTTATGGATATTATCAGAAGACCAAGTACTCTGAGAACTGAATGAATCAGAATGAAAGCTAGGTGATTTGAATGCTCCATCCCACAGGGCATGAAAGATGCCTGTTTCAAGGAGCAAACAATTAATTCTTCAACAGACTCAGGAGACAGAGCTATGGAAATAAGGAATGTATTTGATCTTTTGATGAGCTACCCAAAAATTTTGTTCAAGCCTTAGTAGCGAACAAGAGGTGGTAATGGTACTATTCTACTGCTTGTAATATTCCCTGAAAAAATGAGAACTGAGGCACAAATGGAGACTTATACACCAATGTCCATAGTAGCATTATTCACCATCTCAAGAACAGGGAAGCAGCCCAAATCTTCAACCACAATTGAATGGATTGAGAAACGATGGTACATTTACATGATGAAATATCACACAGCATGCAGGTGCAATGACTTTGAAAATCGCTACCTAACTTGGGAGGAACTGGAGAGCATTATGCTGAGTGAACTCAGTCTCATAAGGACAAACACTGGATAAGACCAGTAATGTGGAAATAGATAACTAGTAAAGTGTGTATGTGGATCTAATGAGTGTAGGAGCAGAGGGGTGAGGATGAGGGGCAGGGAGGATCAGGTGATCATAGGGTCGCACAATTTGATGGGTCGCGGGAGGGATGGGTAAAGGAAATGGGGAAAATCCAGTGTGAAAAACAATGTATACAAAATTTTTGTTAAGTAAACAAGTATAAATAAAAATTGTATTAAAAAAACCACAAAACATCAGTGTATAAGAGTTCTTATCTCACCAACCACATTCTCTCCACCATTTATTACTTGTTGTCCTGTTAAACTTTGCCACTGCTACTGGAGTGAGGGGGTATCTCATGTGGTTTTTTATTTGCATCTCTCTTATTGCCAGTGACAAGATAGGAACACTTATACACTGTTGGTGGGATTGTAAAATGGTACAACCACTCTGGAAGGTAGTTTGGTGCTTCCTCAAAAAAGCTGAATATAGAAATTCCATATGACCCAGCTATTCCACTGCTTGAAATATACCCAGAGACAATGAGAACTGTGGCACAAACTGAGACTTTACACCAATGTTCACAGCAGCATTATTCACTATTGCAAGAACATGGAAACAGTCCAAATCTCCAACTACAATAGAATGGATTGAGAAACTATGGTACATTCGCACAATAGAATACTAAGTAGCATTCAGGAGCAATGATTTTGTAAATTACCATCTCCCTTGGGAGGAACTGGAGAGCATTCTGTTGAGTGAACTCAGTCCCATAAGGACAAATACTGTATAAGACCATTATTGTAGAATGATTGTAGAATGAGTATGAGGATCCAAGGGGTGAGGCTGCACAGCGGTGGGGGGAGTGTAGTCAATGATAGGTTTGCATAATTTGATGGGGGTGGTGGTAGTGAAGGAAATGGGAAAGATCCGGTGTGAAAAAACAATGTATAAGAACTTTTTAAATAAACCAGCATTATTTTTAAAAAGGGGGGAGAGGTTGTAGGTGTGAATGAAGGAAATTGTTAATACAATATATACAAATTGAGCATGCAAATCAATATAAAATAAGATTTTACACAAACAAAAACAGATGGTGGTGGTTGTGTGCTTTCCAGTGGGAACTAATCCATAGCTGACCCTCCAGCGGGTTTTCAGAGGCAGTAAATTGCATGGAAGGAGATTGATTGCCCATCTTTCTTCTGCGGAGCAGCTAGTGGATTCGAACCTTTGGCTTTAGTGCCTTTGGGACTGCAGCACAGCTTCTTACCACCATAGCTCAACAAAAGGTAAACACACACCCACGGGAAACACCTGTTATCACAACCAGACCCGCTGCTTGATTCTGCCTCATAGAACAGCCCCATAAAGTTTTACAAAAATGTAATCTTTAAAAACACAGTCTGACCCGTTTTTTTCTTCCGGGAGCAGCTGGTGGGTTTCAACCTGCTTCGACCTCTGTGGCACCAGGCTTCCTTAGGGTTCCATCAAGACTTGGGGAAATGTTAAGAAAACTCAGAGAGAGAGACACAGAGGGAGAACATGAACACATGAACACGTGCACGCTCACCAGGTGAACTGCTCTGCAGGAGCTGAGGCGGTCGTTGAGGCCCATCCAGCGCTGGTACTCCGGGTACTCGCCCCGAGGTAAGATGTACATGTGTCCGGCAAAGTTGGGCCGTTCGTACACGGCCCAGGTGCCTCCTTCCACCCGGATGGAGTTGCAGCGGTTCAGGTGTGGGTGGAAATCTGCGCAGTCGCACTCACACTCATAGTGGCGGCCTTGGAAGTTTTTGTCTTCATAGAGAGTAATCTGGAGGAAGAGCAACCCAAGAGAAGCGCTGAGTCATCGAGTGGCTTTGTTCAAAGAGAAGCTGAAAGCCTATATAGGACTTTTGCTTTAGAAAGTCCTTTCTTCTCAGAAAAAAAATATGTCATTGTACCTTGCCTCGCCAAGTATTTGTTTTCTTGAAGACAACTTCAGTTGAAAATAATATAACGTATGTACAAGTGGTTTCTGAAAGCTTACAATGATGTCAAACACAATAGTACTTCAATGTAAGCCAAGAAATTTAACCTCGAGTTCACTGCTTCTTTATGTTCACACAGTCCTCTGAACTGATCACATTATATTACAAATTCTCCATCTATATTCTGCCTCTCCCACCAGATTTCTTCCAAAGACAAGGACCAAGTAAGTCTTAATCAGTTACTTAGTTCCCCATTTTGGCCACAGAACAGGGCAGGTACTTGAAGATACTCAAATTCGTTCTGGCTGCAGAAAGTCATGTAAGGCGATACAGAAAATACAGATGGAAAAATAAAACATGCACCTTGGCTTTAGAAACCTTATTTTAGGTGAATACTGAGGAAAGTCAAGTGAAAACGATATTATGTTCTAGATCATTCATTTATTAACAGAAGAATAGTTGTGAAGAAATAAAAATGGCAAGATAAGAACACTTTGCTTCCAACTCTCGAGTTTCTGCCACCATGCCTGTGGTGTAAGTCTCTGAGATCATGAATAAGGCTAGAAAACCTGAAATAATAACTAATAAACATAGAGAGCTGCTTCTCCACAGCCCTCCAGACTCTCAGTCAACTCTCTGGGCTGCAGCATTCTGTTTGTAAGATGAAAGGACACACTGGCTAGGAGATGATGAAACACCCAGCTTTTCTGGTTCTGAGCATGGAGCTCCCATAAACTCCTCAGGCTTCACAAAGCCATTTCAGAACACAATCCAAATTAATCCAGTGTTGCTCTATAATTCCACAGTCCTAGAGAAATAAATGATCAGTGGCCAGGAGGGATCGGTCATTGGAGGAGGACATCATGTTTGCAAGGGTGGAGGGACAGCACAGGAAGAGGAAGACCCTGGATGAGATGGATTGACATAGTGACTGGGACAGTAGGACTAAGTGTATTGGAGTCAGACTGGTTCTGGGCAGGGCAGGCTTCAGAGCCCTTGTCCATAGGGTTCCTATGAGTCGCAGGAGACTGGAGGGCACATAACAGCAGAAAGATTTAAGTGTAAATTGCTTGGCATTGTGCTGCCACCTTGTGGCTAATCATATTTACACTTGATCTTAGCCTAAAGGCCAAGAAGTGATTGGCTGATAATGTTTTAAAATGACACGCACCCCTTGAGAGGAAAAAGGAATTTCATATTGAAGAGATTGCTGAACTGAGGGTTAAAGTTCAAAGTGGGGACTTAGTAAAAAGTTGTGCTGCCAACCCCAAGGCAAGCAGTTCAAATCCACTAACGGCTCTGCAGGAGAAAGATGGGCAGTCTTCTGTGTGATTTACTGCTTCTGAAACACCTCCCTCCATCCTCCTGCTAGAGGGTCAGCTATAAATTGGTTTCTATTCAAGGGAAAGAACTTCTTCCCATTTTGATGGGTTCCCCAAGAAGCTCTAGCAGCATAGTCTAGTGTGTTGTGCTGTAACCCAACGACATTTGACAGATCAAATCCACCAACAGATCCCGATAAAGAAAGATGCGAAGTCTCCTGTTTCTATTTATCGCCTCAGAAACCCTCTGGAGCCTCACACTGAGCCCCTTGATGGCTGTGAGTTGAGTTTTCCAGAGGAAATGTGTGATCAAAAGAGTAAAGGAATGAAAGAACATGACCCCCAATAAGTGGATCATTCAGGCTAGGGGTGCTTTGGGGGCAAATGGTGAGGCAGTAGGAGATAAAGCTATAAAAATGACCTGGACATTGGGCACATCTTCTGTCAAGGACATCTCTAAGGTGCTAAAAGGCACTTGATTCAAGTTATGGTCTTTTTAATTATTTGCTATGTATTTGTAGTTGGGCAATGAATAAAGATGACAGGAAGAAGAATCAAGGAGGGAAGCGGATGACACCAGAGCCACGTGGGAGAGACAACGCAGGAGTTTGTGCCTGTAAATAGGTAGTTGCTGTGATCCAGGTGACAGATGCTGAGGACCACCAGTGTGAGTAGGTGTGTCAAAAGAAATTGAGGGTTTATGACTAATTAGATGGATGGGATGAGGGAGACAATGAAGCAAAGACTGACCTACCAAAGGGCATGAATCTCATTTTCTCCTGCCCCCGCTGATTCTTTCTAAAGAGCAATATACTAATAATGTCTCCTTTCATGTTAAATTTTCCTTTTCTACCCCTTCCCATTTATCTTATCTGCTCTCCAATCCCTGAAAGCTTCTTTTCCCCTTTCTACCCTCAAGTTATTTCTTTTTCCCCTCCTGTTCATTCTCTCCCAATCTCTTTATCTCTTCCAGCTTGCCTTCTATCTTTGCATCCTCATTGCTGTTCAGTCAGTTCTCTAGGTCCAAGGAGAACGACCCCTCAGGCTCTCTCAGTGTTGTTCACCTTGACAAGAGCAGACAGCCGCATCTTCCTCCTGTGGACTAGCTGGCACGTTTAAATCCCTCACCTTTCATTTAGCTGCAAAGTGGTTAGCCACTGCACAACCAAGAACCACAGCACATATTTAAAAATGCATGGTATCTTGGTTAACAGATGAATTAAAAAAAAAAAGAAAAGAAAGAAAACCACCACTACTAAGAATTTAGCTAAAGATCCTCTATTCACCGGCTGTTTAATCTTGGACAGGGCACTGAACCTACCCCTAAAACTCAGCCCTCCGTTTAATAGAGAGTTGTTATGAGAATAAAATAGTATAGTGCAAAGCCTTTAAATACTTGGCATATAATTGCCATAAGCTTTTCCTAAAGTTATTACCACAGATGAAAAGGTTAAGTGACTTACCTCAGATCACTAGTTCATTCAATGTTCATTGCAGGCAAGCCAAGGGACTAACGCACAAAAAGGGCTCCTTTTTCTTTTACCTTATATCCTTTTGCTGTCTTCCTACTGACAACAGCTGGCTAGGGACGGACTTTCCCCCATGACCTGTGAAATATCTCAAGGAGCAGCAAGGTGGATAGATTCTAACCTCATAATTCACATCTTCTACTTGCCTTTGCTGTTGGCCAGCTAGTCACCAAAAAGGAAGCTTTGCAAGGGACATGCTATTGGAAATGATGTAACCACTCTCAAAACACCTGGTCCCATCCAAGCTAAGAACTTCAGATGCTTATTAGTGATATTTGCATGGCATACTTTTAAGATCCTCACAGGAAAGAGCAGGTTTTAGGGCTGTTGTACATAGGGTCACTATGAGTCGCGGGTGACTTGACGGCACATAAAAACAACAACGTCAACACAGTCCTAAAGACATTAGTCTATTTTTCTATGGAGTCCTCCTGGATACCATAAATTCTTTTTTCAAGGTGGCCTTGAGGTAAGCCCTAACCAGTTGTGGGACAAGTTAACAGGTCCCTCCTGACATGATGTAATGGGAAGTACTTGACATTGCCTATATCATTTTCTTGCCAAAAATATTTCCTCTCACTACAAACAAGAGATACTTAGACAAATACGTATCAAGTGCTTTTAAGAAGATGCTTTGCCTAGAGTTTTGAAAATATCAGTGCCTCAAAACAAAACAGAACTAAAGAGAAAAGAACTGGTCTAGATTCTAAAAAAGGCAAACCCATTGAAATCATGTCTTAATTAGTATCCCAAAGGTTAGGAGCTTGGCTACTAACTGAAAGTTTAGCAGTTCAAGCCCATCATCTACTCCTCAGGAAGAAGTCCGTTTCTGTAAAGATTCCCACCTTAGAATCTCTGTAAGGTAGCTCTACTCTGCCCAGTAAGGGTCTCTAGGAGTAAGAACTAACCCAATGGGGACAGATTCTAAAGGAAGATGAAAGAGACACAGAAATCAAGTTAATTCAGTGTGTGATCCTTAATTAGATACTGAATTGGTGGAAAGTCACATTTTCAGGGACAAGTGTGGAAAATTTGGATGTGATCTGAATATTAGAAATATATAAGTGAAGGCGCAATAATTATACCATATTTAAACAGAAGAATGACCTTAGTTTTAGGCTACAGATGCCTAAATAGGGAAAAAGTATATTGAAGTCTCCTTCCTTTCAAATGGTTTTAGTAAAAGAAGAGAGAGATACCAAGCACAACAGAATGTTGTTAAGTATCAGTGGCAGGTATGCAAGTGCTTATTTGATGGGTTGTTTTTTTCTTTTTCTTTCAATATTCATTGGGTTTGACATTTTTAAAAATAAAGACTTGGAGGGAAAACTGGGCGCCAGAAAATGGCTTTTCCCTAGAAGAACTTGTCAGTGAAAGAGCTCCAAGGAAATGATCGTGTGGTTACCATTCCCCAAACCCAGGCTGAGAGGCCAATTCTCAATTCCAGTCACCGTCGGACAAATACCTTAGAGGTATTTTCCCCTGTATTTTTTTTTGTTCTAAAATGAGCACTTTATTTGAGAGAAAGGAAGAAAGTAACGGCTTGAATAAAGGGCATATGTAGAATTTCATTCACCTCACTGGTCCGTCCAAGTTGGCCTTCTAGAACATGAACGGTTTGGGCTAAATTTCACAAAACACATTTTAAAATGAACATCAGAAGTGTTCTAATCCACATAATCCTCTTACAGTGTGCCCTATTCCTGTGAAAGTACATGGAATATTAGCTGCTGAAAGTCAGAAATCATGTTATTTAGACATTATTTTCTTTATCCAACAAAGCACCACACATAAAGATAAACATTAATAGAGTGTCAGGTAAATTGCTAGAGTACAAATAAAGAGAGTACTTAGTCTTCCCTCCTAACCTCGGCCTATTCTAACCACCATCGTACTCACCTCTAGTTAATGAGGAAAAAAAATGTTCTCCATGTGAGAAGAAAGCAAACTCAAAACCAAACCCAAGGGCATCAATCCCAACCCAGAGAGACCTTAGAAGGGTAGAGTACAATTGTCCCATGAGGTTCCTGAGGTTATAAATCTAAATGGGAGCAGACTGTCTTCTCTTTAGAGGGCTTGAACTGCCAACCTTTCAGTTATCAGCCCAGCATAACCCACTACACCATCAGGATTCCAAAAAAGGAATGCAGGTGGGCTGAAAACCCAGCCTGACCATTCCCTTACCTTGGTTGCCGTTTTGGACATTTTGGTGCATAGGTTGCTTTCCCCACTGCTGAAAGAAATCCAGGAATAGCTACAGAGAGTTAGAGGCCCGGAGACAACATTTATACTGGGCTGGTTTCAAATGAAACATTTGCTTGGTCATGAGAATTGGATCCAAAAATTGAGTCAGTCATTTGGAGGCTATTGACGGTTTCTAGAAAAACAATTGGGATTATGAAATAAAGGAGAGCTTCAGTAGCCCCTGTTAATGCTTACCAAGCCTTGCTGCATTGCAGATTTTGCTGAGGCAAGACACCAAAACCCAGCCAAATTTGGAAAATTAAAAACACAAAAGTTCCTCTTCCCTGGGCAGTTTCTTTCTTTCTTTTCAAATACGCTGCCCCTTTGAAATTGCTATAGCTTTTTCTTTTCCTTTCCTTTCCTTTCTAGAGGCAGGAATCGAAAGATCGACCTCTAGTCTAAGCAGAAGGGACATGTTCCAAAGACAACCAAAATACACGTTATGGCCTGAAATGTGTGTGTCTCTGGAAAGCTATATTGACATCTTAATTAATACCTGTGAAAGTGGTCTGTTTAGATATAATGTCTGTGCAGATGTTGTTGTTGTTAGGGGCCATTGAGTCAACTACGACTCATATGAACAGATGAACAGCAAATCAAAATTATATCCTTTGCTGCAGTAGATGAAGTTAAAATGCAGATGTAGTTGAATTAAACGCAATGTCACACCAGACAAGATTGTGCCATAATCTAACTGGTGTTCTTAGAAAAGGGAAAGGCAAGACAGAGTGGAGATGGCAACATGAAGACAGAGGCAGAAAGTGCAGGGAGGCTGGCACAGACTAGGAATGGAGAGGCTGCCAGAAGCTGTGGAATAAGGAAAGACCTTCCCAGAGGGCCCTCAGAGAGCATGCCTCTGCTCACATCCTGCTTCTAGGCTTGACAGCTATCAGAATAGATTTATGTTCTTGTAGGCCACCCAATGTATGGTACTTTGTTACAGGAACTATAGACAACTAACATTGGTAACAAATGCAATGCTTGTCCCTGGGTTGGAAGAAACAGAAACATTACAAATGGCATTTGGGGGATGATTTACAAAAAGCTTACTGTTAACTCTCTTCTAGATAATATTGTTACCTGCTGTGGAGTAGTGTTTTACCAGTGGCTACTTTAATTTAATATAGTAATTGTCTGAGTTTGACACTTCCTCAAAAAGATATAGAAACTCTGTATGATGTGGCTATTCCACTATTAGGAATAAACCCGAAGGAAATTAGAACAGAGATATAAACAGAGATTTGTACACTAATGTTTACAGCAGCATTATTTACCATCACAAGGACATGGAAACTGGCCAAATGTCCAATCACAACCAAATGGATTGAGATATTGTGATACATTCACATTATGGAATACTATGCAGCACTCAGTAACAGTTTTGAAAAGTATTACATAATGTGGGAGAGGCTGGAGAGTATTATGCTGAATGAACGAACAGTCTCATAAAGACAAATACTGCGTAAGACCATTATTATAAAAATAGAAAGTTATATAGTAAAGCATGTTTGTGGACCCAAGGAGGGAAGGGGTGGGAGCAGAGGAGTGAGGATGGGTAAAGGCAAAACCAGGATTGCACAATTTGGTGGGGAGAGGGAAGGGGTGAAGGAAATGGGAAGGATCCGGCAGGGACCTGAAAGGACAGAGTAATGATGGGCATAGTCCAATAATGATTAATTTTATAAAACATAATGCATGAGATGATTGTTATGAAACACAATGTGAATGAAGAATAGTGTGAAACACAATGTATACAAATTCTGTAAGCAAACCAATTAAAAAAAAGTTATTGTCTGGTCCTTTGTGTACAGTCCTCACAACTGAAGTGCCTGAACTCATTGTTGCAGTTATTAGTTAGTATTATCGTCTCAAAGTTAAGCTTTCTGAATTCACTGAGTGCTGGTGAGACTTGGGGAACTCTGGTGGGCATAGTGGGTAAGGAGTTATTGGCAACCCAAAGGTAGGGAGCTTGAATCTACCAACTGCCCTGTGGAAGAAAGCTGGGTAATCTCTTCCCAGGCTACTTGAGTCAGTTCCACCTTGACGACAATGAGAGAGAATTGTAGTAGTTGTTGTTGGGTACCATCAAGCTGGAAATAACCTACAGCTGACCCTCCAGCAGGTTTCCAGTGGCAGGCAGTCACATGACTTTCTTTCACTGAGCAGCTGGCAGATTAGAACTGTAGGCCTTTGGGATTGCGGCACAGCTTCTTGCCACTAGTTGAGACTATTTTTCGAAATCTTTTGTTTGTCTCTTTTACTTCACTGTTTCTTCCTGTTGGCTTCTTAATGTAATCATGACATTTCAGTCTTTTCTGACATCCATTTTGGTCTTTTCTTTCTCCCCTGTCTTTATAATGTTATTTTTGCTTTCTTCACAGATGATACCCTGGATGCCATCCCACAACTCATCTGGTCTTTAGTCATTAGTGTCCAAGGCCCCAAAATATTCTTGAGTTAGCTTTTAAATTCAGGTAGAATCGACACAGGATTGTATTTTGGTTCTTGTGGACTTGCTTTCATTTTCTTCAGCTTCAGTTTGAACTTGCACATGTGTAATTGATGGTCTCTTCCACAGTTAGCCCCTGGCTTGGTTTTAACTACTGATATCGAGCTTCTCCAATGATTCCAGTCATTCTGATTCCTATCTAGTCTGTTAGATGAGGTCCATGTCAGTTAGTGGTTTTGCTGTTGGTTTTATTTTTAATCTTCAAATTTTTTATAATTGGTGGACTAAACCAAAAAGAATTTACAATAATGCACATCGCTCTAAATAAACAAGTTCCAATACTCTCTTTTAAACTGTGATACTATAGCACTCTAGGATTTATTAGAAGCATATTCAGATTTATCATTTTTATGATTTAGTCAATGAATTTCATTTTTAAAATAGCTCATTTAAAACTCAAATGCCATTATTCTTTTCAATTAAAATGATGCTACAAGCATTTTTCTATATTAGTTAAATATATATTTATGATTCATTTTACTTTGCGTTAGAAATAAAATAGGCCAGAAAATCCTACTTATCTAAAGCTTTTTTTTTTTCGTTGCAGTTCAATGCTTCTTTATTCTGGTGATTCAAAAAGCTCCTATCTAAAGCTTTAACATTACTTAGCTTAACATTATTCACCTAGTGGGGTTTTTTTTTAAAAAAAAATTTGCAATGAATAAATGACTGTACAAAATTAAATCATTCCATCTCCAGCCTCATTTCTGTCTCCTAGTCCATAATTTCTGATTACCAGTCCTTTTCCCCTCCAATTGTTGCATTCTAGTAACAAATTATTATTAATGAATCTTGGCTGCATTTTGATCAATTTCAGACTGCAAATATTGATAGAAATCCTCAATTTCCTCATCTTTGCTTTAGTTGTTGGTGTGCACATTTGAATAATAATTGTATTAATAGGTCTTCCTTGTATGAGAATAGATAATATCCAATCACTCACAGCATAGTACTTGAGAATAGTTCTCAAAATGTTCTTTTTGATGATTAGTGCAATACCATTCTTCCTCAATTTTTCATTCTTGGCATAATAGACAAGTGGAAGAAGTGTGTCAAGGCTGTGTTCTTTCTCCATACCTATTCAGTTTGTATGCTGAACAAATCATTCAAGAAGCTGGACGTTATGAAGAAGAATGTAGCATCAGAATTGGAGGAAAGCTCATCAAAAATCTGCATTATGCAGGTGACATAACCTTGCTTGCTGAAAGTGAGACTTGACATTCATGCTGCAGAAGATCAAAGACTATAACCTTCATTAAGTTGGGGTGTTTTCCCCCTTTTTCATTAAGTTTTACATCTCAGTATTCAGAAAACAAAAATCCTTACTACTGGGCCAATAGATGATAGATGGGGGAAAATAAAAATTGTGAACAGTTTTATTTTACTTGGATCCACAATGAGCACCCCTGCTATCAGTAGTCAAAAAATAAAAACATGTTGAAAAGAGAAAATCTGCTGTCATAGACATCTCCATTGCTGGTGAGCAGTGGTGTCAGTTTAAAGACTAAGGTGCAGCTGATCCAAGCCATGATCTTTTCCATTACTTCTTAAGCATCTGAAAATTGGACAATGGATAAGAATGATGGAGGAATCTATGTCTTTGAGTTAGGGTGTTGGAAAAGAACACTGAATATTCTATGGACTGCCAAAAGACAAGTACATCTTGCAGTAAGTGCAAACAGTGTGCTCCTTAGCAGCAAGGTTGGTATCCCATACGTTGGGCATGTTGAGAGGAATAAGTCCTTAGAAAAAGACATCATGCTTGTAAAGGTGAACGATCAACAAAAGAGAAGAAGACCCCCGACAATATGGATTGACATGGCGACTATAAAAGGCTCAGGTATACCAGATGTTGAAGATGGCACGGGACAGAGTTCAGATATGTTGTTCATAAGATAGCCATGAGCCGAAGTAAACATGTTCAGCCTAACAACACATAAGCTTCCACTGACAGCCGTGCTCGAGTGCTGGGAGCTGACCATGAGTTTTCCTGCATGAAGGGTGAAAACTTTATTACTGAGCCACCACTGTTTCTAACAGAGTGGTAAAGTACATATGGAAATATGTCAATAATTGGTAATACTGACAAATGGGAATTCAATGACTGAGTCTTGCAACTGTTTTACAAATTTGACTTCCCCCAGCCGCCAAATTTAAAAAAAAACAACAAAGAGCATTCTAATCTCCAATAAATGGTGCTACTAATGTATATTCCCCAAGAGAAAAAAGCATTGTGTTGTTGTTGTTGTGTACTGTGGGGGCAGAAGGCACTCACAGTTGACCCTCCAGTGGATTTTTAAGAGTCTGTAAGTTGTAAGGGAAGAGACTGCCCGGGTTTCTTCTGCAGAGTGGTTGGTGGGTTTAAACGACCAGCCTTTGGGTTATCAAGGCAACTCTTTACCCATAAGCCACTGCTGTTGGGTACCATCCAGTCAGAACTGATCTGTCGCTGACCCTCTACTGGGTTTTCCAAAGCATTTAATTGCATGGTAGATTG